CATTTACAGAATGGTAAGCTGAGGGTCCTGTGCTTACAGTTTACAAGAGAGAATCTAGTGCGGAGAGAAGGTGATTCCGATTGGGGATCCAGCTTCTGTCTCAGATCCAGCCCTGTGTCTATAACCAGGTCCACACCAGGGGGCTGATTTGAATATATACTTACATAACCAGGGTCAGTAGTTGCCAGGGTATATATACCCTCAATGTAAGGTGGACTGAGAAGAAACTTTGACCCTGGCTGGTCCTGTGAGAGTTCCCACATGCCTGGGTGCCTCTGTTTCTTTGCTCTACTCTTTGGATTGTGCCTAGCTTCTGCCAACTCTGGCGGCATGGAGACTGGGGTGGGGGTGGGGGGGCTTTGGGATGAAGCCACTCTGTGACATTCACAGGTCTCAGCTGAGGTAGAGAAGGACCGATTCCCAGTGAGGAGAAGCTGTCTGCTTCCTCCTTGTTTCTCTGGTCCCATGTTTTCATATCACAGTGCTGCCCGTCCAACGACATGAAAAACTTTGGGGTGATTTTCCATGCTTGCTTATGAGCCCCAGCCCCGGGCTGTCTCTGGAAGCTGGAAGGTGGCGTGAAAGCATGTGGATCTGGCTGCCTTGGCATCTCGTTTGAATCTCAACTTCTATTTCCTTGTGCTGTCTGTTTCTGAGTAAGGAACAAAGGACCTAGAAAATTGCTCAACGCGTAGACAGACAGCTCCGTGCCCTTTCTCATGAGGCTGTCCGAGGCTCCCACGGCCACACCCTGCAGCCAGCCGGTTTTGGTAGTCAGCAACAGTCAGCCCAGGCTGGCTGTCTCCTAACTCCAGCCATTCCAGCATCCTGTCCTCTGGATTCTCCCCACTCAGACTCCCCTGGCATTGGCCCTGCTGGAGACTAATTAACACCTAAGAACCTCGACTCTCCCTCCTTCAAGTGAGAGGACCGCGTTTTCAAAGGATTTTTGCTCAACTCCTGTTGCAGCCAGTTCAAAAGAGACCTCAAGAAAGTGATCATGGCCAGGGAACCGAGGAATGTGGGGTCTCGCTGCTTTCTGCCGGAAGCACCCCACGGAGTCTTTTCTGCTCTTTCCAAGTTTCTGTATGGCATCCCTGGGCCATTTGTCAGAAACGATGTCAGGAGGTGGATCCTGGTCCCAGAACAAAGCCTGACTTCCATAGATCCAGCCTAGCTGTTTGCACAGGAACAGCAAGAGCATCAGGTGCCAAGGGGCCTTCCATTTGATTGGGTGAAAGCCCCCCCCCCACTCCTCTGCAGACTCAGTCCTGACTGGTCTCAAATTCATGGTCCTCATGTCCCACCCTCTCAGAAGCTGGGCTCGTAGGCCTATATCACCCATCCCTGGCTAGGAGATTACCTTTCAACTTTTCAAAAGCCTCCTCCGTTCTTTGCTATCCTATCCTTGGAAGCCCAAGCACAAAGGAAATTCTCTTTCATTTCCACTTTGTTGGCAGACCTTAAAAATCTGGGCAAAGACATTTCAAAGGATAGCCAGGATAGGGCAAAGGCGCTTGGCCTGAAGGAAGTTTAGGTGTTTCTTATTGCTGAGAAGATTCTGGCCTTCTTGGGGTCAGAGTAGGTTCCTACCCACCCACCCAACCACCCACCCACCCCCTCAGAGGAAGTTCAAAGCTTTGACCCGATACGGTAGCCTCTGCTTTGTAAGCATCGCCCACTGCTCTGGAGGAACCTCAGCAGATAACCCCGTTGCCATGGAAAAGAAAGACTATTTAATACAACTTTATGAATCTGGGGAGGAGGCGGAGATGGCAGTAGAAAACAGATATTATTTTAAAATGTTTCATTTCGGTGTTTAAAAAAAAATCCTACCACTTTGTTAAAAAATGCTTACAAAGAAACAAAAGGGCTTCTTTGTGGAGCTAAAAAAAAATCTGCACAATAAAATTTTCGTGGGGCTCACTCTGTGCTCTGGGGTACATTCCACTGGGCGTGGTCGGGAGTCTTACCATGCTGTTTAGCTGTTTATCCTGGACATCCTGTGGAGGTGGACATGGAGGCCTGTCTGGACTGGGCTCTGGGGGTAGGGGTAGGGTTCTGCAGTTTACTTTTCCTGGTGTGGTCCTTCACGGTGGCCTCTGAACTTCTTCAGAATCACAAAATTTGACAGTAGAACCTTAAAGAGCATCCATCACTCAGACTAGCCATCTCTAGATGACAGCTGCTGCCTCTGTGGGCCTATTCTACAGGACTTAAAACTGAGGCACAAAGAAGTGGGTAGGGCCCAGAGAGATGGCTCAGCAGGAGAAGGGGCTTGACTTACAGCTATGGCGTGCATGAATATTCACTATTAAATAAGTATAAAGTAAAAACAAAAGGAGTCAGGGAGTTTTCTCCGACTTACAGAAAGAAACGAGGAAGGCAGAGAACCCCGCTGGACGCTCCAAGGATCTAAGAGGCCTTGGTGTAAGTGGTTCTCGGCTGTAGAGAGGATGCAACTTTAGGATCATCTCTGTGGGTTCTGGGGTGCTGGAGAAGCCCCTACCAGCCACATGGTACCCTAAGTGTCTGTGCAGGGGAGGTAGGGAACAAGACCTTTTGTAGAGGGATAGCTGGCCGGTAGCTCTACATCCAATATCCTGTAGCCTCTCCCACCCCTCAGAGGCCCCCCCTGAGCCTAGTAAAAACAAAGTACACAGTCCTCGGCCTCACCCAGGTGCTGTGCACAGCATCCCTGAGCTGGCCCACTGGCCATTGCTTCTCTGACTGCAGGCACACTTTGCAGAGCCTCTTACCTCACCTTCCTTTTTAAGAAGTCTCCCGGGGAAGACGGATAATAGAAAAGGGCCTTCATACCCTCCCCCCTCCTTTGCTCCCCCCACCTCCAGCTCACACAAGTGTGAGACATCAAAAACCAAACTGCGGCGGGCCGAGTGAGCCACAAGAAAGATCCTGTCTGCTTTGAGGGCTGCACGGCTAGAACCCCAGGCTGACTCGGGACTTCAGGTTGGTTGTGCCAGCAAATCTGCAACATAAACCATGGCCTAGGGGGTCCATGCCAGGATGCTCATGGTAAAAAAAGAAAATGAAAAACAAAAGAAGGTTGAAGGTGTGCTCTGCTGAGAGCGGGGACCAAAGATGCTGCCATCCTGCGTAGACAGCAGGATGAAGAGAGGGCTGGAGGGCTAAGAAGGAGTATCTGTCGGACTGGAGCCAGAGATGGGAGTGGGGACACTTAGTTAGGATGCAGGCTGGGAGGGTGCAAGCATTAGAACATTAGATGCCCAGCCGAGAGTTGGATCTCCCCTGTGGGTGACAGGAGCTAGCAGGGACAGGCAAAGAAAAGTGACACTATTCAGGGGCGTGGCAGGGGTGGGATGAGATGGGAGCTGAACCAGGGAAAACGAAACTGTGAGGGTCAGGGTATGGCAGAGGTGAGCTGCAATGGCGTCCGGAACTGAGGACATCACGGACAGAGCCCTTGAACGGTGCAGATCACAACTGTGACCCATAGTACAGACATAAAAGGTGGAATGGGCCAGCGGTGAACACCTGTTCTGCTTTGTATCACTTTGTATCATTTTGTATCATTGATCCAGCAACATGCAGCAAACAGCCAATCACAGAAAGGCCAAGTTCTTGGGAGAGCGTCGTCTCTTTGCTCTAGTTCACTATTTTGAGGTAGAGCAAGAAGCAACTCAGTTGAAATGGCTGTGCCTGGCATCAAAAAATAACAACAACCATCTTATCGGCCCTGGTCCTCCCCTACACGCAGGAACTAAAGGGTGTTGACCACAGTGATCCAGGAAGAAACATCTAAGGGAAATGTCTACGGAATGAAAGTGGGGCTTTGGGGGTGCCAGTGATCCCAGGACTCCAAAGCTGGAGGCGAGTGATTCAAATTATGATCCACATAGTGTGTAACACTGTCTCAGAAAGGAGCTGGGCGAGGTAGCTCACTGTCCAACCCCTGTCCGATCTTCGAGGCCCTTGGTTTGATTCCCAGGATGAGAGAGGAAGGAGAAGAGAGTGGGAGGGAGGGATGGAAAAAAGAAAGCTATAATATACAATATTGTATTAATATATAATATCTCTATATGATATATTATATGTTAATATTTATTAATTATGTAAAAGAAGAGATCAGTGATGATAATGAGATAGGCTACCAGAGGAAAACAGCTGAGGCTTACGTCAGAACGCTCATACAGGCCAGGCCAATGCAAAGCAAACCCTTGCTGTCCTACAGAGCCAGCCGGGACTGGATGCCCGGTGGGGTGCAGCCACAGTGCAAACGGTTTACGTTTTGCTGTGACAGATAGCGACTCACAGCTGTTCTCTTATCGTTTTGATTTCCCCTTTGATCTAGTCATTCAGCCCCAGATCCTCATCTCCCAAAGACTAAAAGGCAATCTTTTAAAAAGAAAAAAAGAATCAAGAAATTTAAAGTGCGCTTTTCCTGTAATTACTCCATGAGACTAGCTGTGCTGCCGTACCCTGGAAGAACTTCGTTTTCAGTTTTGTGCCCGGGTTACTGCAGGCGTGGAGAAGACGGGCGAGTGATTTATTCTCACCTAACAAAGGAATTGAGCCTTTCCACAATCCGTATACACCGACCAAATGAAAAGATGCCCACGTGGCATCCTAGAGCCCACAGCTTTGAAAAGTAACCCTTAGTTCCGAACAGTGAGGGAATGCATGGAACCCAGCGTCTCCATGGAAACCAGTGGGCGCTCTGCTACCTCACTGCCTAAGGATTATGCTTTTTCACGTATGTGCGTGTGCGCACACATGTGTTCATGTATGTATGTAGCCTCACATGTGCACACCTGCAGGTGGGAAACCAGGGGTTCACTTTAGCTGATATTCCCCAGAAGCTGTTTGTCCTGTTTGTTGAGGGAGCATCTCTCACTGGCCTAGGTGGCCAGCGCGTCCTGTGTACATGAGTTCTGGGATTGAACCTGGGTCCTTGCACTTAGATAGGAAGCACATTACTCACTGAGCCAACTCCTAAGCTCAGCTTCTGTGTCTCACAGGTGGTTTTCAGCAAGTACTGCAACTCCAGTGACATCATGGACCTGTTCTGTATCGCCACCGGCCTGCCTCGGTGAGTGTCTCCTCCCACCCCACCCCCCACTGTGTGCTCCATGATAAGAGCTGTATTATCCCCACAGTGGACCAGACAAGGGTGAAGCTACAAGCTGGGGTTAGGGGGCAGAAGAATCCCCCAGGCTTCTGCTGTGATTTCTCTCAAATCCTCGAAGCGAACCCCATGAGAAGCTCCATCCTGGCTTGACCCAGGACCGAGCTGGACCCCAGCAGCAGGGTCCAGCTGCCCTGTCGAGCTCAGGTAGAGCTCCATCTTCAGAACTGGGTTTTCCCTTTCATGTGTTCACTCACTGTTGAGGAAGGAGGTGTTTGGAGTTACCTCAGCTACAAATAACTAGCTAAGTGCCTTTGCTTCCAGGAGCGCTGGACACAGGACTCATGTCAGAGATGCGTTACAAGCAGTTGCCTAGTCTAAATCCTCAGTTTCCTTCTTAAAGCCAGCCTGTATCAGCATGGGACTTTTCTAATTAGAGGCTGGGCCTCTCTAGTCCCTAAACCCCAAATCCCAAGTTTTCTGAAACCTGAAACAGTTTTTAGCACTGACTGACCTGACCCCAGATGCACAGAGTAGTGTCCTTGGCGTGGTATAATATGTCAATCAAGACACAGAGTGAAATATGTACATTGTATGTTTAGGCGTAGGTCAGCTCCCCCCCCCCACCCCGGTATCACATCCCAGATATCCAGGCAGTCTAAAATCTGAAGAAAATAATAATAATAATCCCAAACACTTCTGGTCATGAGTGTTTTGGATAAGAGACACTTGGCCCATTTTAGCATCGTAATTTTCCTTTAGAGATGGTATGTGCCTGTAACACTGGTATTTGGGAAGCTGGGGCAGGAGGATTGTAGGTTAGAGGCCAGCCGGGACCATACAGTGAGACCCTGTCTCAGACACAACTAAAGAAATGGATAAGGGAAAGAAGGGGCGCTCGGGAATGGCATTGGATGGCGATGACTTTAGATAGGGTTATGGTCTGTGGAGGTAATGGGACAGAAGGGTTACAGAAGCCTTTTATAGACAAGTAAGAGAGGGACAAAGGGATGAAGCCATGTCCTGGAGGATATAGCACACGCCCCAGTGCAGCAAAAGTAGCCACCCTGTGGGAAGCGTTAGGCATCCTATGGTAAGAACTGTAAAACATATACTGTGGACATATCTGTGGGTACGATGTGGGATTTGGGTCCCATTTCCGTTGTACCGATTCGAAAACTTCACAAGATGGGTTGCAAGCCCCAGTCCCAGTAAGAGATCCTGTCTCAAGATTCAAGGTGGATGGTTCCCCGAGGGATACCACTCGGAGACTGACCTCTGACCTCACGTACCCACGTTGGCGTGCATCCGTCCTTATACACACACATTAAAAATGCAGTAATAAAAACTCACAGCTGAGGATCAGAGGGCTTAGTTCTTTGGACAGAGGTGTGAGCTTATCAGCAGCCCCTAGAGGGGCTGGGAGGAGACAGGTTTCGACCACTTAAGTCCGTTCTTTATGGGAGAGAGATGAGCAGGCTCGGGGGATCTCTCCAAGGATGCAGAAGCAGCGAGGTGAGTGGTGGTTCCCGTCTCTGGTCTAATGCTAGTTTTTGTACACCTCGGATTCCTTAATCTCTCAACTCAATAAATTATCCTCGCTCCGATTCCCACTTTAAATTATTTAAAAGTTGACAGGCTCTTAGAATACACTTGCCCTTTTCACTTGACTTGATAAGGGGGTGGAGGGTGGGGTAGGTATCTACAGGACAACCAGCTGCCCCTACCTGCCCTTAACCAAGGACACCTGGTCCCCTGTTCTCAGGTCCTGGTTCCTCTGGACTCTGTCACTCGAGGCCCATGTGCAAGCATGCATGTGTGTTGAGGGAGGGGTTCAGAGCTGACATGAGTGTTTTGCAGGAACACCACCATCTCCCTTTTGACCACAGACGACGCCATGGTCTCCATCGATCCCACCATGCCTGCCAATTCAGAGCGGTAAGTGTCTCCTCCTGGGTTGTCTTACTCGTCCGCGCCATGTGCCAGGGAGTCTGCAATTTGGTTTTGTTTACTACTGCTAAAAAGTGTGAAGTTTCAGCCGGAGAGGGAAAGAGGCAGATGGGAGGCAGGCGGAGGCTTAGTTCACTCTTTCCTTCTTGGGAAACCATTTTCCCTGTGAGGAAGCCATGTGCACACACAGGGAACTGGACTAGGAGCATAGCTCCAGCCTGAGGAATCTTTGTAGGAGAAGCTACGGTTTCCTAAGGACTTTGTCTCCCCACTTGAGCCCTTACTGGAACATTCAGTGCGTAGGAGATAGGAGGCTGAGGCACAGAAGGTCAAGAGTAGCCAGTAGCTGTGTGTTCCCTTGTGGAAATGGGTAGGACAGCTGGAGCCAGTTATCTGTACCCTCTTGGAGGACATGGAAAGGGTCCTGGAATCAAGAATGTCTCTTTTCCAGGTGGCCTGGGAAGTCCCTGTAGTCTCCATGTCATTTGTACAGTTCAGCAAAACAGAACTTAGAAATGCAGCCTCTAGGGCTGGCATGCTGGATCAGCTAGTAAAGCGCTTGCACGCAAGCCTAAAGACACAAGTTCAAGCCCAGGACCCACATGAAGATGGAAAGCGAGACCAAATTCTACGAAGTTGTCCATTGACTTCTGCAAAACACACACACACACACACACACACACACACTCATTTAAAAGTTTTAGTATACTCTTAGAAGAGTACAGGAAGTAGACAATGAGATGTTGGGGAGGTAAGTCCTCAGGATCCTCTCTGGGTCCTCTCTGTTCCTCTGACCACCAGTCCATAGGACTCAGGGGAGGTTTGGGGCCTCTATCAATCTGGTCATCATGGTTCCTATGATGAACCCATGGCCAGCTCTGAGCCCACAGGAGAAAGCAGATACCAGGCAGATACACCAACATCCTTGGTTGCTTGGGTTCCTGGATGGGCCCAGCTGGGATCTCCACCTAAGCTCCAGAGTGGTTTCCCCACTCAGGCACAAGGCAACTTTGTAGTTTGTTCCTGTTTTCAGAAACAGATCAGTGAGGCCTCAGTGATTATGGCTGACATTAAACATGACTGCTACTGTTCCCAGCAACCCTCAGCCTTGACCAGGTCTCCACACTAGGCATACCCATAATACTCAGGCACAGGATGTCTTTGTTCCTTCATCTTGCCCCTAGGAGTCAGTGTTCCAGTCAGACCCACTGACCCTCACTCTGATCCAGACTCCCACAAGGCTCATGGCTCATTGACTCAAAGACTCCCATGACAATCACATGCAACATGTGTGACATGTGTGTCATTTCCAGCCTGACTGACCCAGAACTCCATCAAGAGGAAGGGACTGAGTGGTCCGTCCCCTCAACACCCAGAATCCTAAAGTGGCCATGTTGGGGGTGGGATTTCTCTATGCCCTGTCTGTGTAAGCAGGGTCTCAGTCCCACAAAGAAATGTAGGTTTTGCTGGATTCAGTTATAACAGGTATAACAATTCAGCTAGCAGAGATACTCAGACTGTACAGGGAACGGACAACAAGTGTCTATGTGACCCCAGAACCTCTTGAGCAAGAAAACACAATAGCACACATACATATGTGTATGATCATACGTGCATACACACATACATATACTCACACATGCATGCACACACTTACATACATACATGCATTCATACGTGCACACACATGTATATATCAAAATGCACACGAGAGCACACATGCACACACACATGTGCATTGAAATGCACATGAGGGCACACGTGCACACACGCATGAATACGAATATACACACACGTGCATACACACATGTACACACGTACACACATGTGCATCAGAACACACATAAGAGCACACATGTATGCACACGCACACACAAATACATACATGCACACACACATAGGAATACACACAAGCACACACATGCACACGTGTGTGCGCACACGTGTGCATTGAAATGCACATGAGAGCACACACGGGCACACACACACACACACACACACGTACACAGGCATGCGCACACGCATGCACACAAGCCCAAGGGTTCATAATAAGCACTGCATCATTTGTGACTGAAAACCACCCCTCAGATGCAGACAGGATAGAACTGCATGAGGTTGGACGGGTGCGTGCTTCTGTGTGTTGGGGTTACAGAGGTGTGGATACAGAGACAGAGCTAGCTACACAGATGGCTCAGAGAGGCAGGAACATGAAAAATACATTTGTGGGCTCAGACCTAAATCTCCTAAGACTGATGGTGGCCACATGCCGAAGGTAGGCAGAGGTGAGACACCCATGTGGACACATGGAGATTGGGGAGGTGACAGACATAGGCCTGGTGGACCGCACTTGCCCGAGCTGTGAGTTTCCTGTCTTCAGGGTCTCCATGTCCTCCCTCACTCCTACTCGTCCTGAGCTTGTTTGCTGGGAAGGGGTTGTCACCTCCATGCTGAAGGCTCCATGTGGATCAGGACAAGTCTGGCCTAGAAATTCCCAATCTCAGTCTCCACAGGGGTTCCTGGCCTAGAGGCATGCCTGTCGTCAGTGAAGACATGCATCTGCTCGCCCACACTGTGGCTCGGTTTAAACCAGGTCAGCTGAATAGTGGCCCCTGCTGCGCACTAAAGCTGGCAAGCCCTTTTAAAGGGATCTGGTTAACCCACAAGCCCCTCACCCCCTCTAAGACTTATTAATCTGGGTCTTTGTAAAGCTCTGCAAAAAAAAAAAATTACAGAGTGCAGAACCTGGGGTGCGCCCCATGTGCTGAGGGGAACCCTGAAACCACTCTGGACTTAGATGTGGGCCTGTGCCCTCTGAGCCGGCTGGTACCATTCTCAGAGGGTTCAGTACAGGATACACTCTCTGGTCTGTGTGACCCACCCCCAACTTCCCCGAGAGCACAGGCCCACCCCGTAACCCCATCCACCCTCACCCACCTCCACCCATGGTTCCAAGTGACCACATGCCTGCATACCTGATCACTTGTGTTTACATTTTTTAAACTTCTCCCACTTCTGAAGACCATGTGGTCGTTCAGCTTGGACATGGTCACCTCTGTCGCAGCCTGCCACTGGTGGAAGAGACCTAACTCTAGAGAGAGCCCTCACTCTCACACTCGGGGCTGTTTCCTGTTCTCAGGATGGATTTTCTATGATGCCCCTATGAGACTCTATGAGTCTCCAAGGTTCCTGGCTAGCCACCTCCATCCTGGCTGGAGGGGTAGCTGACTCCTCTTTCCCAGCTTCACGCTTTCCGGCTGTTTCTCTGCACCTGTTTCAAACCCCAAGTCACAGCAATGAGATTGGAGGCCAGTCGGCTTCTGCTCTCGTTTGGAGCTGGCAAGACATGATGAGTGGCCTGTTCCTCAGGAGCGATAGTGAGAACAGACATGTCAGAGCCTGACCAGATGGAGCTACAGGTTTGCTCTCAGAGAGCCTTATCCCATCTGTCTCCTTTCTCTGACCAAAGAATGTTCTAGGTCTGGCAGCATTCAGCTCTCGGAGCTGCCTCTTGGACCCTGCCCTTCCTTCCTTTCTTTCTGGGGAAGGGGAACAGATGCTTAGATGGTGTGAGGAGAGTGGGGCCATATGGCGCAGCATACGGAGAGAGGAGAGGGCCAAAATTGACACGGCACATTTCTGACAGAACACAAACACATCTTTGGGTTTCTGATTTTAGCCAAGTTGTGAGACGTGCAGCTTTCCGCTGGGTAAAGCAACCGGGCGCCAGCGAGGAGGCCCGTGCAGCCATCCCTCCGCTCAGTGCACGTGCCTCTTAGATGGATGCCCAGCTGGCGCCAGGCTGCTGCCTTTCAAGGCATCATAAGGAAAGCCAGTGCCCAGGCGGTTAAGATTGCAGAACAGACACGCAATGAAAGTCCAAGGCCGTCTATCAACTCCAGGCGGGGAAGGGTTTATGTCATTTACATTATATTAACAGTGTCCAGGAAGAGGGTGAGGAAGCTGTAACTCAGTTCAGATGGAGCCAAGAGTTTATTCAGTCCTGGAAGACACGTCACCGGCTCTGCAGAGCTGACCTGGGGGGATTTGGGAACCAAGAGCCACAACTAAGCAAGAGGCCATGAGATGTAGCCAGGAAGCTTTGCCTGGGGTCTCAGGGTCTTGCAATCTTTGTCCAAATCCTCCTTCCCTCTGGCCAGTGGCATCGGCTTGCTGGTTACATTCAGGCCAAAGTAGCATGGGATGATGAACGGGCTACCCATCCCAAAGACAGACACTGTTACAATGTCTGTCCCTTCAGAAACCTACACTTGAACATAGGAGATCATTGAACATAGGGACATTTTAGCCTTGTTCAAAGCCGGTTCCTACCACAGTGGGCTCTCAGAACACAAGGAGGGTCCCGGGACCCTGAGCCTCATCTTGACACATAACCTCCGGATTTCATTTGCAAGTCCCAGTGAGGGTCAGGTGTTTGAACTCTCGCCTGCGCCTGTCTGCGTTGCTAGCGCACACCCTGCCTGCAGCACCTCCGAGGGCTGTCTCTCTAGCCTTGTGTTGCTCTTGCAATCAGGTTGTAAATTTTGTTAAACTGCTAAGTGGGAAAAAAAAAAACAACAACAACAATCAACCAATCTCTCCTGGGGTTAGCTCTTAGCACTGGGTATCACTCACCATTGCCTGGTTTCCACAGATCTCAGAAGCCCATCCCTGACCCTCGATGGAGGTCCTACCATCATTTACAGAGCCTTCCCCTGCCATCCAGATAGCCCACGTCCTCTGTACAGCTTCAGACAGGGCGGTGAATAATGGGGTGTGGGTTTTCACAGGGTCGCTGTCTCCAGTACAGTTCTGTGAACACCAGCAGAGACAAGTGGGAGCTAGTTTGCACTGGTTTGGGGTAGAACTGGTCCAAAATGTCAGAGTCCTCTGGTTCCACATGACAATGTATCTCTGGTTCTTAATTGTATCAATGACAGAAATTTGCTTCCTTGTGATCAAGTTGTGAACGTTATGAAGGCTACTCCAAGTATATATAATTTATAAATAATTTTATATAATTTAAAAAATTAGATGCATCCAAATAAGAGAACTCAGAACGGTCAGGTTGCAGGGAAGGGGTGTTGGGGTGTATGTAGTGTTGGGGGTGTATGTAGCTCGGTGGCAGAGCAGGAACTTGCAATGTACAGGGCCTGGGGTTCCATCTCCAGCACCTCAAGATAAAATGAAAATAAACCACCAGGCGCTTAGTTGACTGAATTGTAATGCTCCCAAGGGAGTGCTTATCGCTGGCAGTAGCCAGTGCCTCTGGCAGCCACTCACTGGGACACTCTTTTTTTGCAGAACTCCCTACAAGGTGAGACCTGTGGCTGTCAAGCAAGTATCTGGTAAGGCCCTGTTATCACCTTTTAAATAATGAGAGAGATAGAGAAAGGGAGAGAGAGAGAGAGAGAGAGAGAGAGAGAGAGAGA